TATACAGTATGTATTTCCATTATATTGCTATATTGGGGAGACCGTTTTAAAAATCATCAAGTACTGATGATTATACAAGTACTGTATATGCAGCAGAGGCTTCCCGGCCTGATGGAGGGTGTTCAGAAAGCGGTTATTCTACTGCCAGACGAATTTAAATTATTTTTAAAGTTTACACGTAAAACGGGATGCAACTAAATTGTTTTTCTTTGTTCGCCGAGAGGCTAAGTAGAAGAAGAATAATTACAGCAATGGCAGTATTAATCACGCACACCTTCGTGGAACGATCAAACTGAAAAGATAATTTGTGTTTCATATTTTCATAAAACACAAATCAATTGATATTATTCAAAAGTCGATCTTCAATGGATTTCCGCATACTTTTTCGCTATCCAAACGATTCATGAACTTGAAAAGAGCACTATATGCTGTTTAATAATTTAGAATCGAAATACTGTAATTGTAGTTTCCGAGCTTTTTGATCGATGAAGCGTGTTGTACACACTTGCACAGTATGGTATTTTATACATGTGTATCCAAGAATTTTCTCAAATATCCTTTCCATACCCTGACCCAGCATTAATCTGGCCGTTTGAAGTGTTCCTTGCCTTGGGTAGCACTTACGGGTTCTTTTGATTTTCGGGTCTACGAATGCTTCAAGAGCTGGGAAGACTAATTTCCCCAGGAAATATTTATGTGACCCGTCTCCAGTTCATGAGCCTTTTTTTGTTTTGTTGCTTTTTATTCTTTCAGATCCCGAACCATCAGGTCCATCATGCATCGAGAAGACAGCGTTCTTTCATGCAGTTCTGAATCTTCTTTATTTTTTATTTATTCATATTTTTCTTTCTACCTTATGTATCCCTCATTTCTTCTTCGATCCTCGTGTTATTTTCCCTTCGATAGCCGATCAATAAAGCCAGCATCTCAAAAATAAAGATTAAAGGTTTTCTTGGCCGAGGTCAGATGAACCGTTAATGAACGCGATACTAGGGCAAGCGTCAGAAAAATGGAAATAAATGCATCCGATGTTCGCTTTTGTGGATCTTGCGCTTCGATATTATGGCTTTTGCACAGGAAAAAAAAGGGGGAAAAATATATCCGAAGGAGTCTATATAGTAGTGTGAAATATTATCGGTTAATGTTCGGTAGAAATATGGGTAAACATATGCTCCACACTTTTGAATCAAAGCGCAGGAAAATGTGAGCAGCATGTAAAGTTCTCCTGGATGTGCAAAATAAAGGACTGCTTGGTTTAATATCACGAGATCAATTTGGTGTACCTTCAAAAATAGCACGTGGATGACCAAATGGTCAGCATTCATCATGTCGACCGTTTATGACTTGCAGAAACACGTGGGGGTGATATTTTAAATTGTATGTGCTCTTCAGCCTCAGACCTCAGTTGTTTCGCCGGCAATGGTTACTTTACCTAAAAATCCATTAAATTTATGCAACAGTGAGGTGATGAGTATGTATAGGAAATACGGTCAGTTGATAATGATTTTAGAGTTTTCTCATCAGTGACCGGATTTCGAAATTTAGGTCTTGTGGTTCTTGCGATCCAGGCTCGGTTACTTTACAAATATTTTTTTCAGTTCAATTACAGCAATAAATGTCTTTATTGCTCACCAAATGTGATTTCTTATTAACCTGCGTATTCAGGTCCCAGGTCTCCAGATATTCTCAAGGTCGGTGCTGGAACCATGCACTTTTTTCAATCTAACTCAAATAATTCATTTCCCAGATCTAGAAAATTGTAGATCAAATAAAAGAAATTATCTATCATTTGTAATTTTCGGAAGTATTGAGACTTTCTAAAGAAACATGATGAACATGGAAATTTGTTATGTACTGTAGTCCGTGAAAACTGATCACAGTATGTGCTTAAATTTTTGGAGCAGTGACGACTATGAAAATATAAAATATTGTTCTGTACAAATTATTGTAAATAAATTTCCATATCCATCTATTATCCAACTATCGGAGGTTGGAAGCAAAAAATTAATTAGAAAATGATGGACCATCCCTTTCATTCGACGTTTTTCTAAAATGGTAATGATTAGTTCAGGGATTCACATTATGAAATAGATACGATTTTTTAGTGAAGAATGCGCTTCGCGAATTAATTAGTTCAGCACAAACGTTGTTCACAAAATTTTCAGTGGGAACTCTATGTAGCCGAGCAAAGTTTTTGATAAAACATTGTTCAATCATTTTCAAATATGTCCACTTAACTAATTTAGATCTGTCATGACAGTATTAACGCAAATGTAATTGGCGAATTTTTTCAACGGGACATATTTCAACAGCTTTTTGTTTTTAGAAACATATATATTTTAAGGCTGATTTTGTCTTTCCCACACTTCGGAATTTGCACAAATCAAAATTTTACAATATAGGAACATTTCCGCGGTTACCTTTAAGAAGAAGCGTACTATCAGGAATCATGTACTGATAGACGCAGTATAAATGTTATCAACAGTGAAAAGTTGAGAGGTATAATGCAAAACATATTCATTCCTTCTCTAGTTTGTAAAGCAAAATCACCTCTCACACAAAGCAAGTTTTGAGTAAATATTTAGACTCCATAGCAGGCGACACAGGGGCCCTTTTACAAAGTTGGCTTTTTGTGTCATAATGTCATAAGTAAACTTCTGCAAACCTTCCGCAAACAGAAAGATTTTCGATGGATCAGGAAAAATAGAAAGAAACAAGACGATCCTTCTGCTTTTTTTTTTCTGTTCCAGATGAAAGAGAAAGGTTTGTATGCACAGCAGCTAATTTCATTTGCTTCGCCCACGGTTTTCCTTCCCATATACAGTATAGCAGAGCTGATAATTGCCTCAATCTGGGCATGCCAGGATTAACTAGGAAATCGAACATGTCCCGGGGACTGGATCAATTGCATTCTCCAGATTATTCCTGACATCCTTTCCCACAGGCAGCGCTTTTTCTGTTTTTTGTTTTGTTTTGCAAAACAAAGGCAGTGCACATCATCGTCGGTGTTCCTTTTGTTGTCCTCAATAAGTGCCAAATACAAGCTGAGTGTGTTCCTGAACCAGTCAGCACTGGCTAATAAACAACACAAAAGAAAGATGGAACAAAAATAGCTAATCCTAATTTTGGCACAATTTATGTGGAACAATTAAGCCCATGTGTAGCAGTCCCCAGATGAGTCACGACCGAAGTTACCTTGTGTTAAGTCTGTATTTTGGATAAAACTAAACTCTATCCGACAGTCCGGTGGTCTACGGCGACACGTTGGTTTCGTCACCTGTAACCGGTTCGGGCTGAAAGGGTTGCCAAAGGATATCTGCAGCAGGAAGTCCCTTCTGCACAGCTGGTTTCCCCTGGCCCTGTGAAGGAGAACTGGTGGCAAGGATGAATAACCCATCAGAGCTTGGTCTCCAACAAAGAAAATGAGATTTTTATTCACTCAAATTCAGGCTTTGACTGCTAGTGGATCTCTGTGACTGAAGGCTCTTGATCAAATTGTTGTGTGCGTGATTGTGGGATTTGTCTTGCTGAGTTACTGTTAATAATCATTGCCCACTTCACTGGTGTTTGGTCTTCTGTTCTGTTATCTTGTGTTTGATTAAAGTGTTGTTTAGAAGGGCCCTCTCCAAGAGGTACCTGTCTGCATAAGACGGATTCCTGCCTTGATTCATCCTCACTTACTCTCAATTTTCTTTGTCGGTCTCAACCCAACAATGGCTGCAATTTCCAGGAAATTTTAGACGCAATGCGCCTGCAGAAAAAAAGATTTCTTCTGAATGTATTCTGCAGAAAGTACTGTGCCAATTCAAAGTTCTTTCTTCATAAATTATATTGAATGACGCCTGGAGAAAGAGAGATGGAATAAAAATAGCTCGCCATATTTTTGCTCCAAGTTTTCTTGAATATTTAAGAACAACACATGTCACACAACCATGTAATTCAAGTCAGTCACACAATATGTTGGTCATGGGTCCACCCATATTGCATAATTGTGACCAAGATGGAAAGCTTGCCTGCTGTATACCCTTTGTTTTGGCAAGACCAGGAATAACATAGCAGACTGCTGTTCCCACAAGAGGCATATAAATTCATCAAATCACAAGATGGTCATAAATTTGTGGCAAGCAATGTTTTTAGAACACTTAGGTGTGTGTGTGTGTGTGTGTGTGTGTGTGTGTGTTTGCCTTAGAGCTGGTGACTTTATTCACACAAGACTGATTGGAGCAGCTGTTGCTCCATATCTGACTTGAATAAGCAGCACTATAACACAAATCATGCTTTTCTATCTTTTCAAATGTGATTAATCCATCAGCAAGAAAATCAATTTAAATTCAGCTCTGTGAGTGGTAAAAGATCACCAAAACATTCAGGAATTAATTTTTAAAAATCTGCATATACTGTATCTTATCATCAGCCGTCAAACAAGTTTTGCGAACTCATGGAATTGAAATTACGAAGTACAGAGCATTTTTTTCCGGAATATCTCAGGAAAATCAGAGTTCCCAGTCTTACAAAGTGTATGCTAGCTTGCACAGATGTTATTTAGCGTTTTTAATATGGTAATTGATTTGGTTTAAAAGAAATACTGTAATTGTAGTCTTCGATTCACCTTAAACTCAGCGGTTTCACTCTACTCTCTCCTAGACCAGCAGATACAATATGAGCTTCTTTTTTTTTTTATATAAAAACGTTTCTGTTCGATACATTTTATTCATATCTTTTGTCTTTCAAAAGCGCCCAATATTTTTGACAACAAAAGCAAACATTTTTGCGTAGCCTTTGAATTGCGTATCTCCAATTGTGAACAGAAGAATTCATGACAATTTTTTAAACCCACTTTTTTCAGGTTAAGATCAATTCAACTTTTTATGTACTATTCATTTTGAGATTTTTTCACAAAACCTGATCCAATCTGTCCAAAGTTATTATCACAATTTTTTCTGCAGCAAACAAAGTTATTTGAATTTCTAAACGATAAAAGAGGAAAAACATCGACGCAATTTTTTCGGTTCCGTAATTTTTTTCACATTTCTTTATTCGCTGTCACCGACGAAAACGAGTCAATTTGAAAACAAGAAAAATGGCACCGGTTCTCAACAATAGGATGACGGAGGAAAAACACTATCAGCATCAACTATTTCCGTTTTTATACACAAAAAAAGAGAATCATCCAGACATTTTTGCAGGATGAGATTGGGGTAGGGAACCTTTCAGCATTTTTAGGAAAACAAATGTCTGAAGGAAAGCTTCTGGTTTTCGATTTGAGTCAGCTTCTTATACCCATATTCTTTGGATTTTTTAAATTCTTTGGTTATGTTCTTTTTTCGCAAGTCCTCGGATTTCGCGGAAATGTTCATTATTTTCCGGCTTCGCTCATGGCTTTCGGAATCCCGAGCAGCGAGTTGATGAGTTCAGCATTGCGTTTGGACGCTGTCATCGGGATTTGATCGTAAGGCGAATTATTGCCGGAATTCATGGTAATTGCGAGGATCCTTGAGGCCAGTTCTGCAATCACCTGTTGTCAGTCAGGAATAAACATTCAGCATTGCGTTTGGACGCTGTCATCGGAATTTGATCGTAAGGCGAATTATTGCCGGAATTCATGGTAATTGCGAGGATCCTTGAGGCCAGTTCTGCAATCACCTGTTGTCAGTCAGGAATAAACACAAATACAGTCACACAAAAATTAAAATCATTGAAGGGAAATCGTCAGAGAAGTATCAGTGTGATTTAGAATATGTTTGAACTGACCTGACGTTCACGAGGTCGGAATTCCTCGGAAGGTCTCGCGTTACCCAACTGAAACATGACTGCACACAGGCAGACGACCAGGAACAACAGCGAAAAAGCTCCACAACGCATTTTTGTTTTCGAAAGTTGATTTCTAAGAGCTGATTAACAACTCAAAAGCAGGATGATACAAGGAAAATCTTTGAAAGGAAGAAAACTTAAAAATGTTCAACACTCAGTAAAAGACGCCTCATGGAGTTTCCAAGGGCTATGTTGATGAATCGGAAACCGTCTCTTCATTTTCAATCTCCAATAAAAAAAATTCTTTACAAAACTGAACAACAATATTTAGTTTCAGTCATCAATGTTTTTTAAAATCTGAATATACTGTATTTGGATTTTTTGCTGGATGGAGTTCAATGTTTCATTGAATGAAAATAGATACAATTCATAGCCTCCTCATAATTTTACGCAGAGTCCTGGCAAACATTTCGGTTAGAGACGAATAATATCGCTGTTGATGAAAAAATTAAGCCAAACGTTTTTCTCAAAAAAAAAAACTTCTAACTTCCCACTGCAGAACTGAAATCTTTCCACACATTAATCACAAATATCCAAAATTCGCATTACAATCAAATTGAAAATTGTACTATGATTCTTTCCAAGCTTCTTGAGATTTAAACCTACTCTACATTAATTGAGTTCGATATCCCGAGTTTGATTTCAGGCATTGCTTTTTCAGCTTAAATTCTCACTGAAACTTCAGCAGAGTGCTTATTTCTCCAACATCAAATTTACAGAATTTTGTGGTCGGCTATCTCAAGCACGAATAATTGTATTTTTATTGGAATATGATGAAAATTGTCCTTCTCTATAAAGTGCATTAAGTGTCTGGTGACATGAAAAAATCTCATCGCTGAGAAAACATTTCCTAAGTCGACCCGCGATGATACGCAGCCAAATCTCCAAAAATGACCTTATAGATATATATTTTTAAAAGCTGATCATTTTATACACGTCTGCGAAGGGAACTTTGCCTAAATTAACTGATTGGGAAAATCTAGAATTTCTACAGCATTTTCAAAGTAGCTCTTTCTTTAGCAGGAGTAGTTGCTCAACTGACGGCCTGGGAACCAGAACTTCTCTTAAATAGTGCCCCGGCCCAGGGACGAGATCCCCTTGAGGAATAACCCGGTTCTTTCTCCCTGCACATCACAAGACGTTTGCTCTTGGGAAAANACAAATATCCAAAATTCGCATTACAATCAAATTGAAAATTTTACTATGATTCTTTCCAAGCTTCCTGAGATTTAAACCTACTCTACATTAATTGAGTTCGATATCCCGAGTTTGATTTCAGGCATTGCTTTTTCAGCTTAAATTCTCACTGAAACTTCAGCAGAGTGATTATTTCTCCAACATCAAATTTACAGAATTTTGTGGTCGGCTATCTCAAGCACGAATAATTGTATTTTTATTGGAATATGATGAAAATTGTCCTTCTCTATAAAGTGCATTAAGTGTCTGGTGACATGAAAAAATCTCATCGCTGAGAAAACATTTCCTAAGTCGACCCGCGATGATACGCAGCCAAATCTCCAAAAATGACCTTATAGATATATTTTTAAAAGCTGATCATTTTATACACGTCTGCGAAGGGAACTTTGCCTAAATTAACTGATTGGGAAAATCTAGAATTTCTACAGCATTTTCAAAGTAGCTCTTTCTTTAGCAGGAGTAGTTGCTCAACTGACGGCCTGGGAACCAGAACTTCTCTTAAATAGTGCCCCGGCCCAGGGACGAGATCCCCTTGAGGAATAACCCGGTTCTTTCTCCCTGCACATCACAAGACGTTTGCTCTTGGGAAAAAAATGGGAACCCCTTTTTTCCTATGGATGACATTTTCTCTATAATTCGGAAATAAAAAAGGATAATGGATTAGAAGAAAACAGTGCAATTCATGATCTATAGAATAGTGAATCAAAAAAAGTGTTTCAAAGCACATAAAAGTCTGGGATATTGGAACCAATTTATGATTTGAGTACTTCGATTCTTTTAAAACCAAAAAGGATTCTAACTTTGAAAATTGTTGGATTCACGGCCAAGAATGTTTTCAAATATCCACGGATTCCAATGCGACGCAATTAAAAATGAAATATTGTGCGTAGATCCATCTTCCTAAGCATGAAATTCAATCTTCGGTATTCACGACCGAAATTTTTAAGAATCTTGACAGACTCATCTAATGATTCAGAAGAAGAGAAAAAGAGTGGTGAGTGTGAAAATTGTTCGATTTACAAGAAGCTCGACTGTGATTCCAGTGCGACGCAGATGGAGAAAAAAATTTGCGATACTCCCAAATTCCATCGAACTCTCTTCAGAGCGTGACGATCAGAATAAGCGAATCAAATCATTTTTTCACCTGACCTGCATGGATCTTTCCTTCTATCTCTCTTAGACGGTTAGGGGAAAATGAATAAAACTTTCATGCATATTCAAAGTAGGGGAGAGCATTACATTGTCCACGTCCGACGTGACAAGGGGCGGAATTAAGGTTTTCCTCAGACCGAATGTGCACGCAATTCTTATTTTATTACGGTAATATTGTATTTTTTTCCTTCAAATCCCTGAAGAGAAGCTTTCTCTTTTTCTGCGTTGTTTCTTCCGGGTTGTCCATCTGCAGACTTTTATCCACATTATCGCGCCATTTACAAATTTGTTATNCTTATTTTATTACGGTAATATTGTATTTTTTTCCTTCAAATCCCTGAAGAGAAGCTTTCTCTTTTTCTGCGTTGTTTCTTCCGGGTTGTCCATCTGCAGACTTTTATCCACATTATCGCGCCATTTACAAATTTGTTATAAGAACTTGTAAGTTATCTAAATCCATGAGTTCATTTAAAAAAAAATTGTCCGATTCTCAAGTTTTCTGGACGCGATGCTTCAATGCGCACGTGATTTTGTATTTGTTTTTGACGTCTCTTCTCAGATATATGAAAGCAACTTTGCATAGTTTTCAATGGGATTTCATCCACCAATATGATGCAGGAAAATGCAGAATCTGGCTGACCAACAGCTGACTGTTGCATTTTGATTTCTTCCACCTCTGTTGTTCTTAACCGGCTCAAAAAGTATAGCTAGCAAATTTGTCTGTTATTTCATTTTCAATTGCAATTACATTATATTATTAGCAATTTTTATTTTTTTTATTTTTGGAAGAAGACGACTCTACAAAAGTTTTCAAATCTTGAGGAAAGCCCTCACCATAATCCGCAAGCAGCATATAAGCAAGGAATGTGCGGAATATTTCATCCGTATGGTGCAGCACTTCCGTGTTTGTAAATTGCAGTTTTCTCTTGGTCCCCTTCTCCTTTTTATTCAAGCTATGATATTCATTTGATCGGTCCAATTTTAGTTGATTTGTTTGAAAAAGAAAGCGAATTTAACTGTACTTGGCAATTCGACAGCTGCTGTAGATGTCCCCTGCCAGCAATTCAATCTACAACATTGTCTGGGTTAAATCGATATTTTGCCCCAAATAACGGCCCTTCCCCCCTTTACTTCGGTTTCGACAGTCTTGCTACTCCCTGTTATCTACCTATGTTAAAATACTCCTATTACTTAATAAAATTAGTCAACCTATCCTTTTAAGTTCTCATATGCTAAAATGAATTGCCAGTATAATTATAGAATGGTATTTGTTATCTTATAATTGAATTGAATTGAATTGAACAACCAGCTCAAGTTTCTGCTTTTCTGTGTTCACAAGGTTCATGCAAGGTTCCCACATCCAAACCCATCCATTCCCCACCCACATATATCAAAACACATGCCAACACATCAGAATGGAAAACAAAGAATTAAGCTGTATATGAATATTAAAATACATTGCAAAACGTAATTGCAGAACTTATGTATATAAATACACTTTCTTCCCCTCTGTGATAACAAAAACAAAATATCAATACACTGTAATAAGAATTGAAGCATAAAACAAATACTAAACTTAAATTAAAGTGCAAGGTGTTCAGCTTGCTCCCAGATTGGGTTTAATTGACTAAAAAATTTAGAGAGAAGCTTTGATGAGAAATCAAATAAGGTTAACAGATTATCTTGGTCCTCTAAGATTTTGGAAAGAGTCTTTCCATATCTTATCTTTTGGAAAATCTTCTCATCTTGGAAACATTTTAAATCATATCTTCCACCTAATTAAATATGTTCCCTTAAAATCATGTACAATTTTGAGAACTTCTCAGTACTGTCTCAAATGAGAAATATGGCAACATCTAGTACTTTTGCCTTAAAATAAGTTCAGCTGAAAGAAAAAAATTAATGTGTTTTCCTAAAATCATAAAAAATCTATTCGAATTTCAGTTCGCTGAGCTTGCAAATCATGACAAAAAATGTATTCCAAATGTTCAACAGGCCAATTATGAGGGAGGAAAATCAACTCAACTTTCTTTTAACGCCGATTAAAACAAGTACGAGATTCGAGTTTTCCGTTTTGTATCTCCAGCAGTTTATCAATTAAACGTAAACTATCATTCAACAGACGAACACGAAGTACAAAATGGTCCAATCGCCCTTATGTATACGGTATACACGTAACTCGACGATGACTCATCATCAACGATGAATTCCGAGTGACGAAAACGCTTCGGCAATTTTCGGCGGCTCGAACTGGAACTCCGGGCCGAAATTCACCTCGGCCGACACTCTGCCAGCAAGAGACAAAGTCGGGAAATAGCAACCCGGCATGGCACCCCCAGGAACATCCCCGATCCGAACCCCATTCTTGTAGAATGACATGAAGGTACGCCCCGCGTGCTGAACGTTGATGAGCACGCCGACCACGTCACCCTCTCGCAATGGAGCCGCACGGGCGCAGCCATATCCGTCACAGAACACGCGTCCGTTGCACGCGAGCCCGAAACCGTGAGCGTCTTGTCCCACAGGCAAATTCATGTCAGATTCTGGTCGACTCCAGCCAACTCGCAGTCCAGGTTTATACACCCTATATGAACAACAACAAAAAGAATAAGGCAACAAACACATTGTGAACCTTTGTATCGGGTGATGTGTACCTGGATGCCAAGAAAGTCCATGTCACACAACTTAATTTATAGATACTGTACCTTGAATTGCCACCTACAAGGTGTCAGCCAGCTTTACGATTTTAATCAATGATATTTTCTTTTTGTTTTTGGGGAGGGGAAGAAAGTGTATGGAATGTGTTTGGATGAATGTTGGTGTGGGGGACAAGAAGGGGTTGGATGTGGGAACATTGCTTGAACCTTGGGAATGCTGAAAAGTGGAAAATAAAGCTTGCTGATCAATCAGTCAATTAATGTGTCACAGCAGGTGTCATCTGCGTGAATCCCTATTAATGAACCAGGCAAACAATTCATTTTTGGTTATATCTCTTATTGATAACTTAACACAAAACTGAACACATTGCACATTGGCTTCAGTTGTTATTTTCCACCAACTGATGGATTTTGTTTTTTTAGCATGGCAAACAAAAGACTGAATTGATCAGCAAGGTACCGCAGCCAGATTCACAAGTCTAAGTATTTTGTTTTTGTAATTGCATTTGCGCAAAATGCTTCTCTGAAATTTTTTGAAATGTTACACTCAATGAGGAAGTAAATAGGATTTTAAATGAATAAAAATCAATAGTATGAATCAATAATCAATGAATCAATATCAATAGTCGTCGTGCGTCATCATTGAAAATGTTTTCGTTTCAGAAAGTTTTTCTCCTCAGTTCACCTCAATTTTCCATTGCCCAAGTCAGGTGTTTGATGGTCAGTAATCAATGACGCATGATCATCAGCATCAGCGGCCTTGAACGACGTGATTCGACACTCCCAAAACCAAGCGCCAATCCGTGCAAAATGCGTGGCACGGATAGAAAAATACCCGTCAGATCTGCCAGTGACGTAAAATTCGGAGTCCAACGAAAGTCGCGACGACTTTTGCAACCTCACAGGACCGAGAGGCGTTAACACCGCATCAATATTATTGCTGAGTCTCTGCTGCTGCTGCTGTTGTGATCCTTTTGCAGCATTTATTGCTGGATCAGTATTTCCTGCTGTTTTGGCAGGGTTCGGGGTCGAGGTCGTGCTGATGGTGACGCAAGCACCTTGATCCTGGCGACCTGAGCCCTGTTGTCCCAGGTCACTCGTGAGCTTGGCTAACTTTAGAACGCGGCTGGTGAAGCGATGCAACCGCTGCGACATCACATCCATCACGTTTCGAACCCATTTGTCATCCGAGTCCCGTTCAGATGCATCATCCGTGACCCGGGATACGAACGATTCCAAGTCCGGAAATCCCACCTATACAATCCCCACCCATCACCCCCAAGAGAGGCTTTCAAAGCATTTGAAAAGTTGTCCCGCACATGTCAGTTCAAGCCAAGTTTCCGGTGTTGTATAACAAGTTTACAGGAATATAGAAGGGACACATGTGTTGTAGGATGTTTCTTCGAAGAAGCGGGTTTTTCCAACATCAGTTTCCCCTCGTGAGACGCGAATGAAAGCGTTGATTAGATGTGAAGGGCTATTCTTTGTTACTTCCTCTTCACAAGGTAAATCGAAAAAAAAAATTGTTAATCCGATTTTTTTGAATTCATCCTTTGAAGATACGATTGCTCATCGTTACGACCACAATTTAAAAGAAAGAACAGAGCTCATAAATGTTTTTTTTTTTAAATATTATTGAAAGAAAATTTTTCAAATTTCGATCGTGTTGATACTAGCGCTTACGTGAATTCCAGAAGCAGTTTAGGACTTGTTTAAAATCATGAAGTGTTCATCGACATTTACGGTTAGTTCTCAACATGATCTGAACTTACACCGTATACCTGGTTGAAACAATATAAACAAAATTGAGGATAAGCAATTCCTATAACACATTTCATTTTCGGATATATCCGTGCTGGCAGTCATGCAATCCTATACTTTACTATTAAATATGCTATGCACCGGTAATAGTGAAGTATTTCAGCCAATAGAATCGCATCGCTGTTGAAAATTTTTAAAACTGACGCTTTTCTGCTGGTTCATGTATGTATTTATAATTTTTTATGAAAATGTTTTACTCTCCGTCCTTTCCTCATCACGAACATGTCTCAATTTGAGTGGGTTTAAATCCTCGTTAAAATTGTAAAGAAGGAGTTCTTTTTTAATTCATTTGATGCTGGGTTTCGCTTTTGTTAAACGGATTACGATTCATTTATTTGTGGAGGCGCGTGTATACTTCTGTGTATATGAGCAACAGACCCTGCGTCATGCAGCAGCAGTTAAGTGTAGATTTATAGCCGAAATATCTCTAGTTTCATTTACAGTATTTGAGAGAGCATGCGATAATTCATCTCTTAAATACCGTAGTTCTCATTAAATCATCGATATTGCTTTCGGATATCAGATGAGGGAAAAATGATCTAAAGGATCGTAGTAGGCAAAAAGGACGCACGAAAATTGGGAATGAAGTCGAGTTATATTTATATACGCTGTACCTGCCGCAACACGCAGTCCTCGATCATGCCTTGCTTCTCGCGGATCAATCGCGTGACGCACTCGCGTTTCGCCTCGTCGTCCAACTCTATCTTGAAGACCATGCCAGCAAATTCGGATCTTTCGTTAGGCGGGTAAGTCATGATACCTTGGGTTTCCCTGAAGATGCAGAAGAGGTTATAGTCCCACAGGCCCTACCTTGCGCCGTCCCCAGGCCGCCGGGCCCAAGGGCCGACGACTTACTACAGACGGCTCACTATGGGCAGGTCAAGTCAGTGCATTCCCCTGTTGCCGTTTTAGAGCATTAATTCCGGGATCGGGAGCCTGCTTTTCTGGATTATCTGGACAGAAAATTAAGGATTTTGTCGTTTCAAATCGCGGTGGAAAATAGCAAATTTCCTCCCAGCAAATTTATAAGCTCAGCGTGCGATGAGCAAGATTTACTGATTTTCAAAGCTCCATAAAAAAAGGTACGAATTGAAAGATCCCGACAGGATTTAAGGACAGTGCTTCGTAGAGAAGCCCTGACCCAATTAGGCACATTTGTAAGACGCTACTTCACTTTTCTAATCCATCCTAAAATACTGTACATTTATTTTGCTCACGTTCGCTTGAGACTAATTTAAATTGATTTGTATTTCCTTTAGAATAAATGAAGTCCTTTAATTTCTTATCAGAAGCAGCTCTTTCAGTGAGCCTTATTTTCGCACTGCACGTCATATTATTTCCTGTCACACCAGCATACTACATTTCATACTCATTCGAAATTTATCTATTCTATTTTTTAAATTACGACTCGCGTTGGTTTGAAGAAAATAAAATTTCTTTGTACATTATTCGAATCGAAGACGTCATCGAACATAAAGTTCCGTTCTTAAAAATTAGACAAATTGATTTCATTGAAACTTTATTCGCTGCAAAAGAAGATTACGTGAAAAAGTACATTCCACGTACATTCGAGTGAATGCCTGTGTAAATAAATACTCATGAGAAATTTGCGTGCGTGCTTCGGAAATTGAGCTTTTTTTTTAAATCTTACCTTGGAAATAAGTTTACGAAATACTTTAAAATAGTGCAGTTTACTTCCGAAATCGTTATTAACCCAATGCATCGACGGGACCTCGTTATTTTTCATCTTTCAACCCGCGCCTAAAAAACAGACCAAAACAATTCAAATCAAGACCCCGGCTAATGCCGTTCAAATCCATTATTTTTACATTCAAAAACTCATCTTTATTCGTCAAAAATACCACATGTCTGCGCGACTGGAACCGTAACCGGAGGTAGAAAGACCGTTACTGCTTAGCACTTTAGAACGGTTAGACTTCTTTTTAGCCAAGGTTGTGAGAGCCTAGAGCCTTAAAGTCGCGCATTGACTGCCGTTTATCCTGCTGCTGCGTGTTCACCGGATCACAATACGTCTTGGCTATGACCACGGATCCCGTGAGCACCCGAAACTCTCTCTTAACGCTGTTCAACCAGGACCTACACCGGAATCGACCTCTCATCAGCCTTCGCCAGTTCAACTCTATGAATGGGATGATTTGAGCCTGAAGTGAAAAGAATTCGGTTCCACGTGGGCAACTATGCGAGACGACTGCGTCCAACCGATCTCGACACTACGTTTACAGGCGCATGCTGCGACACCAAACGAGGTCTCTGAGGGAAACCAGGCCTACTGTGTCCGCTGTGTGCTTCAACACGTTGAGCATGAAAGGGATCAAGTTGTCCGTGTTGACGCCCACGCAGTTAGCGTGAAACCAGTGCTGAAATATGAGGAATGACAAAAAAAAGGAAGAACGAATCGGGGAACTCATGAATGTGGATTTACAGTATTTACTGGGTGTAATTACTGCAGGAATAAAGAGGGGCGGAATTACAAATGAAAATACAGTAGTAACAATTATTCATGAATTAAGCATACATTAAATATGCATCATTTCATATCGTGTAAGGTTGCAATTCAATTTATCTCGAGACCAGAGTCAGATTATCTCTAATTTACACGCAACGTATAGTTTTTTCAAAAGTTAAATTGCAGTTTGAACAAATATAGATGAATCATCCAAAAACCTTGCAGACGTTGCATAGGAGCTCCACCTGGTTGAAATCTCGATGTTTGAGGCAGTAACACTGATATTCGCTAAACTCAGGAGGAATATAACGCTGCTCACGGTTGTGCACCCGTTGATACGCTCTGCTGACGCAGGTTGGCTAGAGCTGTGATGCAAATGTCCGCGTACGACGCTGTGGTTTGCTCCAGAGACTCCCTTTGGTCCGGATGACACAGGCGACACACGAAGTTAACGTTGAGCATGAAAGGGATCAAGTTGTCTGTATTGACGCTCACACAGTTGGCGTGAAACCAGTGCTGAAATATGAGGAATGAAAAAACCGGGATAAGAACGAATCGGGGAACTCATGAATGTGCATTTACAGTACTGTATTTACTGTGTGTAATTACTGCAGGAATAAAGAGGGGCGGAATTAAAATGAAAATACAGTAGTAACAATTATTGATGAATTAAGTATATTTTAAATATGCATCATTTCATAACGCCGTGTAAGGTTGCAATTCAATGTATCTCGAGACCAGAGTCAGATTATCTATAATTTACACGCAACGCATAGTTTAAAAAAAAGTCAAATTGCAGTTTGAACAAATATATAGATGAATCATCCAAAAACCTTGCAGACGTTGCATAGGAGCTCCACCTGGTTGAAATCTCGATGTTTGAGGCAGTAACACTGATATTCGCTAAACTCAGGAGGAATATAACGCTGCTCACGGTCAAAAAATCGAGAAATTCTGCGGAAAAAGATCAAAAGAGTGATGAAAAAATGTTCTTTGAAATGTATGATCGTCGAAGAGGATTCCTGCTGCTTTAACGTACTGTACCTTGACGAAATTGGATGCGGCTTGACAAATCTATACACAAGTTGGATTCCATTTGCCATGGTGACGGTACAGATCCCGTCGACAATCTTCAAATTAGTTTTCTTTCGTTTTGGAACATACGACGCTATAAAAGCAAATCTGGTTTTACAACGCTTGATGTTGGTACCCGATGGCTTCCGTGATGACGTAGTGACATCCATTTTTTCAAGACATATCTCCTCAGAGATAGAAGTTTTAACGTTACTACCTAGATGTCCGTTCCTTTTCTCATCCCCATGCATTTCCGAGTTGTGAGCGCTATCGGGATCAGATTTGCTTTCTTCTGGGATCCCCTGCATGGGTTCTGGTTCCTGGATACTATCGAAACCTTGCAGCGATATTTCACGTGCTTCTCGTAGTGAATCAAACCATCTCGTTGTTTGTTCTAAATCAGAGTCAGGTGTATTTGAACTTGCAGGCTGCTGTGGATTCTGACGAGGCGTTTTTGCGGAAAATTGATCAGCATCATCATACGCTAAAGATCCACAACCATTCAGAGCTGCATCCGCCACTCGTTGAATATTTTTTTCATTTTCTTTTGAAGTATTGTTCGATTGGATCGCATGAAGGGCTGTTTGATCAGATTCAGAGGCAACCGATTGCTTTCTTTCGAAAATGTCGAGCTTCGCGAGTTTTTGAATGCTGGGTCCTTCTTCATCTGATCGAACTCCTGCATGACGATGACAACGAATGAATGCGTTAATGATTTTGCAATTATACATGCGGGAATGGAATGAGAAGGTGACAGAAAAAAATGGGCCCGAGAAATGTATAATTAAGGATATCGATTCCCATCGAGGAAATGACTACATTCTTCATCAAGTGCGACAACATCGGATAAGACGGTTAACAATGCATATTCCAATTAGTACAACACTGCTGCTGTATGTGTATATTTTGTTTTATCTAAGATTGCATGGTTTGACTATAGAAAGTACGACTGTACATAGATTGAAACAAAAACTTTCCAAATAGCCAGAATAAAAGTGCATCAAGTTTATATAATGCACTTGAACTCAATTAACGTGATACAGAGTGTTCCATAAATTAACTTTCAAAAAGCGCTATGAAATGCTGAAAAGTATAGTAAAGAAGTGCTTCTAAAGAAATAACCAATTTGATCAACTGAAAATCAAATGGTCACCGCTGATTTATTTCTTATTTGAATCAAAAGGATGTTAATCCATGTAAAGATTTTTTACTAGTTTCCTATTGACATTATGTAGAAAACGTATGCATAATTTCTCTTACTTGAAGGTATTTTGGCAAGAATTATTGTCTTTTCCTGGGGCACTTCTTTTTCCAATACACTATTTTTTCCGATTTCTGGCGCATTATTGCGATGAGTCGCTGGAATCGGCAATTGGATAGTTTTTTTCTTTTTTCGTTTTGATGAGTCGTCTAAATCGTGCGATTTTTTGCAAGATGCATTTGAGACTGTTCTGCATTTTATTCCACGTATTCTTGAATTACAAATCTCTGTTCTTTCGTCTCGTAATCCAACTTCCAGGGTACACTCGGCGGCAGAAGAAGCACTGATATTGAATTTCCTCTTTCGCAAGGCTTCATTTCTTCGCAAATAATTTCTCAGTGGTCGATTTGAAAATCCTTCAAGTAAAGTCGGATTCAACGAACTCGGTGCTGTTGCTGACGAAGTGCTGGATGTTCTCGGAAAAACGCTTAATAACGAAGCCTTTGCCTTCGAATTCTCTTTTTCAAAGCTTCCAGCTGATGTGACCGACTTGGGCTTCCTTTTCCTGTTGTGGTCGATACATTTCTCGAAATTTGAATTATGAGAACATGCTCGCATTTGCATCAAAGGCCGATCATCAGTGACAGGCTTTTGTGATCGGTTGACTTCTTTGAAGTCGCCGTTTTCCGACGACACCCCTGTCCGAGAATTGCCATCAATATTTTGTGAATCGGCAGTGAAATGGAATAATCGCTTTTGATTCTCGTTAGAGCGAATTTTTGCCGATGCATCGAATGGTCTGGGAAAATTCAGAATGTTCTCAGCGTCTTCGAAATCGAATTGCGAGATTATAGGTCCGTTGGATCTTTCGTCGTCGTCAACAGCTATCATTCTTTGATTGTTCACAGGTGCCATCAGTAGTCGCAATTTCCTCGGATTTCTGCCCTCATTTTGCCCCATCGGTCTCCGAAAATATTCTCGCAAATCGCAGCATTCAGTAGCACGGATTTCACCCCGTGGCGAATTACCGAAACCACAGCTGGGGCCAAGTTCGATATCGTCGAGGAAAGACAGAGATAATCTCGACTCTTCACACGGGAAGGAACTCATCACGTGTTCAGTTCTAGTGCACGTGAAGCCGGAGAAATTTTTCAAGTCCCGAAAGAGACAGTTTCTGAAGGCGTTGGAATGATCTCGAGTCCACGTGATGGATCAGATAGCGAAGGTACTGACGACAGAGACTCGTCAGACGTATGTCAAAGTGTAACACGTGTTCAAGTTAACAAGTATATCATACCGGACAAGAAACGCAGTTGGGAAAACCAGGACTTGATTCTGAAATTCAGGATATGTGTGTTCATTAAATGCGTATTAAGGTTTTTGTGCATGAGAGAGTTTTTTTTTAATATATTTCAGATGAAGCCACTATAGGTTCTGGGGCCATGATGAAATTCTTAATATCACAGTCATTTTGACTCTGGAAAGAAAGAAAAAGCTTATTACTTCTTTTTTACCTGAGGAAAATACGTATGACGAAAAAATAGGAAACTACTGTACATGAAACGCAATATTGCCGGGAAAATTTTAAGGTTAAATTAAGATAGACCGTACTGCTTTCAAAAAATGCTGTTGACCAATGAGGGAGAAAATAGACCTTTTAAGAAGTGTAAAGTTAAAGATCAGACCAGAAAACTCTTTACAGCTCGTATCCTTGAATGTATACTTTCTTTAAAAGACAACCTAAATTAATATGACAGCCAAGTAAAATGCATTGACACTTGACGCAACTTTACCGGAGAAAAATTTCAAGATAAAATCAAGCTGCAGGAGAGCACATGTTTAAAAAAAAACGAAGATTAATTTAATGCGGGATTAAATAGGCCGCGTGAATCCGCTGAACAGACAAACCATTGCGGATATAAAAGCATTATTAAATGCAGGCTGCTTTTAAAAAATAAAACCAGGAATTTAAAATTATTGCGGCACTGCATGGGACATTTTCTTCCCAAAAATTGATCTTTCCTCAAGGGTTTCCTGACGCCTATTTTTTATGTCAGATTTATGCGAAGAAATTGCTTTTGTGAACAGTGCAGTAAAACTTCCAAAAATCTTTTCGAGAATCGAATGCAGATTCGCAGAAACGTTTAGTAACAATTTTGTAAAAAAAATCGCTCTGCATGTTTGAGAAATCAATCGCGCGCGCTCGGAAAAAAATTTCGATATTCGTCGTGCAGTAAAAAAAATTTTATTTTGCTGTTCAAAATGGATAGATTGCTCAATTTTGAGAAATAACATGCAAAAAAACACGAGACCATAGAGGCACTTTGGAAAAATCACGTCCTAAATTCCTGTTTTCTGTAAAAAAAAAAAAAAAAAAAAAAAAAAAAAAAAACAAGATAAAAAATCTTCTCTTTGAGTGCTTCTCCTTTTTAAAGATTTAAAAGAGCGAAAAAAACGTGAGTCAGGTTCGAGCATTGAGTTACACATGGTTCAAATGCCTCTACTTTATCCTCTATAGATGTGTATCAAATGCTCATGAAATTTTATCGAAATAAAGAACGAAACAGTATAAAGTGTACTGAATATAGAGAGTCTTAAAAGGGAAATTGCAACACTGTAATTATTGTACAGTACCACGAATACGAGTATGATTCGTTCCAGTTCTAATGCAACAGTTCCTCGTTTTTTTCGCTCTTTTAAATCTTTAAAAAGGAGAAGCACTCAAAGAGAAGTTTATTAGGTAAGAAGAAATAAAATGTCGCATTCTGAATTACAAGTACGGTACGTGCTTCATCATGCTCCGATAATCGAGTTATGCCAATATGCATTATTTTTCAGATCGATCCGCATCGGACAAAGACGCATTAACTGAAGACTATTGAGCTACTCGTATGCAGCAGCAGTGATGATCATCAAGTACGCAGTAGTAATGAAGCAATGGTGTGCTGAGATGCTGTCGTCAACAGGAGTGCCTTTGGCACTTGTATTCATTCTTTTCTCCCTGGGATGTTTTCTCAGCAGTCGAAATCCGCACTCAAAAGGTGCCGGAGTCTCTTCAACAGCAGTTCAAGCAGGAACCCGAAAAATCAATGGAAGTCTATTCCCTGGAGTGATTATTTTTTGGCTGTTTTTAGTCCGAGGAAATGAAATAAAATTAAGTGCATGGAAACGAGTATTCATCCCACGTATGGTGCATGGATTAAAATTATACTTTGCAGAATAGCTATTTTATTCATACATGACTGCAATCACGTTTAAATACAGTGTACAGTACTGCATGTGTGAATTATACGGCTCAATAATGTGAAGTTTCGTCAGAAAGACACGGCCAGACATGTTCTCATCACCCTAAGAATCAGATTTGAAGTAATAAAAAAATGTTCATATACTGTATGTTCTACCCATTTTTCTCATCTCTTGATAAGATTTTCCAAATTGCAGCAGATGTTTGACATCGAATGTGACAATTTTTAGATACTCAACTGTAACCTATGGTATTTTACTATGGTATTTTACAATACGTAAGTTTCAGGTAAAGGCCTGAAAATGTAGGTTAAAAAATTCTATTTCATCATACTTACTCAGCAATATACTCAAAATAACCTAACTCAGGTGGTACGTTGCAATTTGACCTCCCGCACTTTGTCTGTGAAATTTGATGGTCAAATTGCAGAGAAATTGACTTGAAATTCAACCCTTGCCCCACAATTTGACCAACTTTGGCCACTTTTCTGTGTTTTTGCATGGATATTTAACATATTTTTAATTTTCACTGTGTCTTGCAATTTGACTGCTTTGAAATTTGACCCTAGATTGGTGACCAATTAGGGTCAAATTGTAAGGTACCACCTGTACAATTGAGATATTTTAAGATATGTGGTTTTCAAACTTTCAGTTTGAGAAACTCTGTTGAATAACACCTTATTTTATTTTACTTAAAGTAACACTTCCCCACATGGAAAAAAATCATTTTGCAAATAGCAGGCAGAGTTTTCTGAACTAGCACTTTATATGGAGCATTGATACTGTATCAATTTGCATCTACCAGGTGCCATGGTTTAAAGATAAGTGCAGGATTAAAAAATGATTGCTTTTATGGCTGACAATTATTTGCAAAAAATGATCCTACGTATTCAACAAAGCAATTTTTGTCTTCGAGTCGGAGATCGATTCGTTTTTCGTCCGTAGGTTTATTCGTTTAAATCTCGACTTAAACGCCGCGCTTATTCCCTTACAGGTGCGTTACGTTCTCCGGGTAACTACTGAGCGAGGACGCACTGAAGACTGGAGGAGTCTTTCCCTCTGTCGAAGTGCAGAAGGGAGTCAGGGGGAGAAAGAGCGCGGACGGGCGGACAGGGGTATAGTTCCCCGGGGTTCCTATGGCAACGTGCTCATGGAGCAAAGGGAAACCTCTTCCAACTTTCCGAGCATGCCAGTTTTATCCAGTTGGAGCGGGCAGCAGGGTTGTGTCACGTTGAATTTTCTACCGTTATAGGGGTTTCGTGTCGCGGTGACCTTTTCATTGACATCACGGAACCCCTCTTGTGCCTTGATTAGCTTACCTTCGCGGTGCCATGGTGATCCGGAAGGAGATCGCCGGCGATTTGAATAGATGCTGTGCGATCGAGCGTCATGTGTCGTGAATGTGCTTGCTTTCGGTGAGGTGCTCTGTGTATGCTCGTGCGTTAGTTCGTCAATGACGTGCATGCAATTCAACTCAGGTTCGTTTGGGTGTCTCATCTTTATGGATTCTAGGAATAATTTGGAAATTCCTTCACGTTGGCTTTTTGGTACATCAGAAACAACTTGGCTAAAGTGGGCGTCTCTCCGCGCCCCGTTTTTTGGAAGACAGATTGACGTGCATCTTGCTACGAGGAATCTGCTCGTAAAACGTCGAATGTCTACAAATTCTACTTGTGAATCCTTTGTTGGACCAGTTTATGAACATCTGCCTCATTCGGTCTCAGTTTTCAAGATGAAAACAATAAAGGGGCTTACGATCTTCCACGTGTTCTTTAGTCCTCTTGTGCGTGAATCTAGGTGTTTTCAACGAAAAACAAACGCTTTCAGCCACAGGGATAACCATTGTAATCCTCGTCTCGGCTATCCGGATGCTTGTCACCCATCATGGACAGAGTCGGTTTCTAAAAAATAAGCAAAAGCTGGAGAAATTTATTATACAGTTCTTCTACGCATGACGAAGGAGTTGGCCTTCATTCGTGAGGCGAGGAGCGATTAAGAAAAATAATTCCATATATCCATGTTGTTTCTTGTTGATTTCTTACTTCCAGTTGATTGAGGATTTTGTTTTGCACTAACGCGTTACTCCGGAATATCCTGAGATTCGATGTACACTAGTTAATTATTTTTCATTTCCCTTAAGCTCTTCCCACGCACCCAAGTTTTAGGTTACAGTCTATCACAGAAGCTCTTTTCTGTCACGCGGGCAGGAAATTCGGTGCGGAATCCTTATCAATATCCTAATTCAACGGATGACGTGTTGAGAATGCAATGTGACTTTGGTACGACTTAGCGAAGCCCTTCATCTGCAGCCAAGTACAGTACTTATTTTTTTCCGACTGTGTCCCCGACGGCGTTATTACAGTAATTATAATGCATTCTCTCATGGATTTTGAACAGTTTATTCGCGAAAAGCGAGCAATTCGTGATACAATAATCGGGAAATCCTTGAGGTGGATTCGAATCGATGGTACTGTTGAATTATGTGTCCTACCTGAGACCTATCATACAATACTTTCTTTTTGCTGGAGATTAGATAGTTGATAGTCGGAGCCAGACGCAAGTTCGACTGAGTACCACGTATACTGCTCAACTTCCTTACTTTTCGTGGACTCCCTATACAGTATTGAATCCCATTCAGGTTGGTATCAGTGAAATCGTGTTGGCACTTAACGCACTTTCTATCTGAACGTTCGTGCTAAGCATCAATAAACAGCATTGATTGTTTTTTTACGTTTGGCATTCCGTTAATCTAGCTCTATGTTTGGTACGGATAATTGGCTTTTAAGATAGGAAGCATACGCTATTTATTTATTTTGGGTTAATTATTAGTAAGGTCTTCGGTTCAATAACTTAGATGCGTTCGCGAGGGTAAATTTTGTCTGATTATTTTTTATTTGGTCTAGCGGAGTAATGCAAACCTTGTGACCTGCTAGAACAGTGATGCATTAATTTAAACTTTGACGAGGTTAGTCTCAGAAATCCGTGGCCCGGGAGGTCGATCACACCATATCTGATTATTCACATGATAATAAAGTTGTAATTTATCAATTCATATATGGTACTCTAGTATAACAGTAATAAATTGGTCCCTCGAGGGTAAAAAGTATCAAGTTTGGAATCCTGAAAACGAGGGAAATCTCACGTCGTGTTAAAGAACTGGCGGTCTTCCTGAGCACGTTCACAATTGCATCTCCCAAGTCTCACCCGTGTAAGTCCTTCTCGTTCGATGCAATTAATTGCTGTTCGGGGATAAGTTCTGATCCATCCATCATACTAACGGGGTCTCCTTGGCACGTGGAAGGAAACCCCGTGCGTTCCTTCCAAGGATCCAGACCGTATCCTTTTGACAAATGAAGTGCGTCATGATTGAAGTGACATGAGTGGTTCTCGGCCTGAGGCACGGGAAGGAAATGTCGGTGGTGTTGCCCCCGAGGAGCTTTCCGTAATTTCACGCTGATGATCAACACGCTGTGTGGGAGTCAAGTGGGCTATTGTTACGCTTCTGAGATTGCCAGTATGGATTACTGTATAATCATAAAAGTAAAGACAGGGACTGAATTTATTCTACAAAATAAATTTTCGGAGGCCAGGATTTTGAAAGATTGCTCCGAAACGATCCCAGTATTTCCCTGTTACACCCATCCATGTCCCTCTCTTCTATTGAATTTAAAAATAATCTGCCAAGGCAGTAAAGAATATTCAATGTAATAACCCTTACCTGGCTTCTCAATCTGCACCTACATTCAACTAACCATAAAAATGGATCTAATATCAAACACAAGGTTAGATAACTTGAACTAACATGCAACATAGAACTAACCGAACCTCGTATTTGTACAGTACTGTACTGTACTTGGTAATAAAAGACAAACATGGAAATACTGTAGTGCCTGACCTATATGCTGATACTGTACCGAGCATCCCAATGATCTTTAAGTAACTCCACGAAGACGTGAACTAATAGATGAATCATAAAGAACCTACCCTAACATTGTTAATTCGTGGGCAACTGAACCGAAATTTCTTTCGTAGGGATGTTGCTGAAAAAAATTGAGCATGTGAAAGAATTTTTCCTGAGATGAACCCGTCGGGAACTGACACGTGTTTTATAACCTTCTGAAGAACTGACTCAAATATCACATCCTATCTTACCTGCCATTATTTCAAAGTTTGACTTGTCAGTCCTATTCGAACCTGGATTTTTACCATCGGACAAGTAAGCTTAAAATCTGCTGAATTAGGTCTAAACTTACGAAGTGAACTTCATTGATTTGTTTCGCAGTTGTCAAAAAGAAACAGCTCCAGTCAAACCTCCTCAAGTCGAATTTCAAGGGACCAGCAAAATCTTCGAGACAGTGAGGTTTAGAGTGAGTGGAACTGGCATTTTTTAAAGGAAAGAAAGACTAATTACGGGAAATCGTGATTGGTGAAATCTGGGCCTTCAATTGCTTCTTAAATGAGTTAACAGGATGCTGTACTTGGAGGCAAGCTTTTATTTGTCCAATCAGTCTTTCAATTCCTTTTATAACACATCGAGTGGCATTTTATTGCTTTTGTCTATCCTGCGTCAATAATATGCAGTCCAAAAGGCCTCCAGACAACTCGAGTTATGGAAGTGAAAACGTTTGACTCAGGGAGGTCCGAGTTATCGAGGTTCATCTGTAATTTCTTGGATCTTCGCACCCAACAGGGCATAGACTTACCGGCGATTTCCGTGCTAATATTTATTCCGGGACTCGAAACCAGTGTCGAACGTTTGGTGGGAACAAAAACGGGAATCAAGGTGTCCGCGTCGCGGGGCTTCGCCGTCGGCCCGACGTAGAATGGGCACCGTACTCAGCATCAGTCCCCGCGAGAAGAAAACAGCGTCNTCTATCACAGAAGCTCTTTTCTGTCACGCGGGCAGGAAATTCGGTGCGGAATCCTTATCAATATCCTAATTCAACGGATGACGTGTTGAGAATGCAATGTGACTTTGGTACGACTTAGCGAAGCCCTTCATCTGCAGCCAAGTACAGTACTTATTTTTTTCCGACTGTGTCCCCGACGGCGTTATTACAGTAATTATAATGCATTCTCTCATGGATTTTGAACAGTTTATTCGCGAAAAGCGAGCAATTCGTGATACAATAATCGGGAAATCCTTGAGGTGGATTCGAATCGATGGTACTGTTGAATTATGTGTCCTACCTGAGACCTATCATACAATACTTTCTTTTTGCTGGAGATTAGATAGTTGATAGTCGGAGCCAGACGCAAGTTCGACTGAGTACCACGTATACTGCTCAACTTCCTTACTTTTCGTGGACTCCCTATACAGTATTGAATCCCATTCAGGTTGGTATCAGTGAAATCGTGTTGGCACTTTCTATCTGAACGTTCGTGCTAAGCATCCATAAACAGCATTGATTGTTGTTTAAGTTTGGCATTCCGTTAATCTAGCTCTATGTTTGGTACGGATAATTGGCTTTTAAGATAGGAAGCATAGGCTATTTATTTATTTTGGGTTAACTATTAGTAAGGTCTTCGGTTCAATAACTTGGATGCGTTCGCGAGGGTAAATTTGGTCTGATTAATTTTGATTTGTTCTAGCGGAGTAATGCAAACCTTGTGACCTGCTAGAACAGTGATGCATTAATTTAAACTTTGACGAGGTTAGTCTCAGAAATCCTTGGCCCGGGAGGTCGATCACACCGTATCTGATTATTCACATGATAATAAAGTTTTATTTTGTCAAGTCATATATGGTACTACAGTATAACAGTAATAAATTGGTCACTCAAGGGTAAAAAGTATTAAGTTTGGAATCCTGAAAACGAGGGAAATCTCACGTCGTGTTAAAGAACTGGCGGTCTTACTGAGCACGTTCACAATTGCATCTCCCAAGTCTCACCCGTGTAAGTCCTTCTCGTTCGATGCAATTAATTGCTGTTCGGGGTTAAGTTCTGATCCATCCATCATACTAACGGGGTCTCCTTGGCACGTGGAAGGAAACCCCGTGCGTTCCTTCCAAGGATCCAGACCATATCCTTTTGACAAATGAAGTGCGTCATGATTGAAGTGACATGAGTGGTTCTCGGCCTGAGGCACGGGAAGGAAATGTCGGTGGTGTTGCCCCCGAGGAGCTTTCCGTAATTTCACGCTTATGATCAACACTCTGTGTGGTAGTTAAGTGGGCTATTGTTACGCTTCTGAGATTGCCAATATGGATTACTGTATAATCATAAAAGTAAAGACAGGGACTGAATTTATTTTACAAAAGAAATTTTCGAAGGCTAGGATTTTGAAAGATTGCTCCGAAACGATCCCAGTATTTCCCTGTTACACCTGTCCATGTCCCTGTCTTCTATTGAATTTACAAATAATCTGCCACTGCAGTAAAGAATATTCAATGTAATAACCGTTACCTGCTGACTTCTCAATCTGCAACTACATTCAACTAACCATAAAAATGGATCTAATATCAAAAACAAGGTCAGATAACTTGAACTAACATGCAACATAGAACTAACCGAACCTGGTATTTGTACAGTACAGTACTGTACTTGGTAATAAAAGCCAAACATGGAAATACTGTAGTGCCTGACCTATATGCTGATACTGCACCGAGCATCCTACTGATCTTCAAGTAACTCCACAAAGACGTGAACTAATGGATGACTCATAGAGAACTTACCCTAACATTGTTAAGTCGTGGAGAACTAAACCGAAATTTCTTTCCTAGGGCTGTTGCTGGAAAAAAATGAGCGTGTGAAGGAATTTTTCCGGAGATGAACTCTTCGGGAACTGACGCGTGTTTTATAACCTTTTGAAGAACTGACTCAAATGTCTCATCCTATCTTACCTGCCTTAAGTTTGATTTGTCATTGCTATTCGAACCTGGATTTTTACCATCGTAGTAAGCTTAAAATCTGCTGAATTACGTCTAAACTTACGAAGTGAACTCCATTGATTTGTTTCGCAGTTGAAAAAGGAAAAAGCTCCAGTCAAACCTCCTCAAGTCGAATTTCAAGGGACCAGCAAAATCTTCGAGTCGGTGAGGTTTAGAGTGAGGGAAACAAGCATTTTTTGGAGGAAAGAAAGACTAATTACGGGAAATCGTTAATGGTGAAATCTGGGCATTCAATTGCTTCTTAAATGAGTGCACAGGATGCTGCACTTGGGAGGAAAGTTTTCATTTGTTCAATCAGTCTTTCAATTCCTTTTAAAACACATCGAGTGGCATTTTATTGCTTTTGTCTATCCTGCGTCAATAATATGCAGTCCAAAAGGCCTCCAGACAACTCGAGTTATGGAAATTCAAGAGTGAAAACGTTTGGAGGTCCGAGTTATCGAGGTTCATCTGTAATTTCTTCGATCTTCGCACCCAACAGGGCATAGACTTACCGGCGATTTCCGTGCTAATATTGATTCCGGGACTCGAAAACAGTGTCGAACGTTTGGTGGGAACAAAAACGGGAATCAAGGTGTCCGCGTCGCGGGGCTTCGCCGTCGGCCCGACGTAGAATGGGCACCGTACTCAGCATCAGTCCCCGCGAGAAGAAAACAGCGTCGACGAGCTATTCGGAACCGTCTTTGAGCAGCCATTTGACAAACGACATGTCTTTCAACAGAGCCACTACGACTCCTCGCGACGCTGTCGATGACTCGGGTGACAAACTGCTGTCCGAAAAGGCTCTGCTCGAGAAGTTCTCGCGTGCCAGCGCAGTGGCTCACCACCACCACAACAACAACAATAATAATAATACCAGTGTCAATAACAACATCAACAACAAGAAACACGGCATGTTCCTCAACGGATTGAGCTGGAAGAGGCTCACGTCCGGCGGAGCGCACTTGGGACTCAAGTGCAACCGGAACAACAAAACGGACGCTGTCGTGAAAAACGGCGCCGTTCGGGCGCCGTTGGAAGCCATTCACCCCGCGTTGGACAACAACAAGAATATTCAGAAGGCGTTGTCGTGCTACAACATCAAGTCGAAGCAGTGCGACGGTGTTGTTATTGCTAATAACAATCATCACCAGCAAAATGGACGAACGGCCGCTGCGGCGGCGGCTGCGGGACACGGATTGAAGCCGTTGTTTCCGGCAGTGCAGGCGGCCATTTCCGCTGCCAGAGAGCCCAGTGTTGGGATCAGTCCCACGAAGAAGACGGTTATACAGGCGTCCACTTCCGAGCTGCTCAAATGTCTCGGAAATTTCCTGTACCGGAAATGTCGACGGCTACGGGACTTCCAGCCCGGTGACGCCATCATGTGGCTGCGGACAGTAGACAGAAGTCTTCTGCTTCAAGGATGGCAGGTTTGTTCTTTTGTTTTTTGGTGTTGTTATTGCGTTTACGTTAAACACTGTTGTATTTCATCGTGAAAGTTGGATTAATTTTTTTTTGCTGGGGAAGTGGGGTGAAAACGGAGATTCTTTGAACTGTTGAATATGCGGAGCTGCTATTGCCTCTGCCTTCATATCAAGATGCGTAAAACGTTTCGTGTGCGTCGAAAAATGCTCTGATTTTATGCAGGAGGAGGTCGATGAGTCTAGAATAAATTATGCAAAATAATTTCGTAATTTTTCGAATATATATTCGATGCAAAAATATAAAATTGCTTCTGTTACCTTTCGGCCTGGGCTGTAAAACAGATTTGATGAGCTCCAGAAAATGTTCGGATCCATGAAAAATCTTTTGGATACTTCAGAGTTAGACTAAGAGTACAGTATCGTGGTACACTGTTCTGTTAATATTCGTAAAAATGTGATTCTCGTGAAAAATACCTGCATAGAATTTGCAATAATTTTTTCAGAAATGTGTATGGATTTTCCATTTATTTTGAAACTCATTTGGAAAAGCTTTCATAAAACGATGGAATATATTTTGAAGCCTTTAAAGAAAGAATTTCAGCTTTCAGCGTGCTTCTGTCCGTGAATTTTAAGAAAGAAAATTTGCCTTGCATCATCGTGGAAGATCACGATCAAGGTCGCAAAACATTCATTAAATATGTGAACTTCGGAGTGATGAGGATCTTCTGCAGCCTTTATTTAGAAACGCATTGAGGAAACTTCTTTTATGTTTGGTGAGAGTTGAAAAAAATTCTCAGTTTCTTGCACGATTTCGTTAATTTTTGCTTCAATTTACGAAAAATTTTATTTTGCTGAAACCACGAATCAAGATAGTATAAATTTTAATTTGGAGCATAAAGGCTGTCGAAATTTTCTCATTCTGATGGGAGGGAACATGTCTCTGTGCAGTATTTCTTTGTGAAATTTTCTAAACAACTTACAAATTCTCTGATGCTTTTGATGGAAAAATATTATTTATTTCGTATCATTTAATACATTTCTGCTCAAAATAGGTACTATAATGCACTTCTTGCGGAACTGCGAGATTAAGACTGCTTAGTTCTTGCAGAAAGCCAAAACCTTCGTCGCGTGACCGCGGTTCATTTTCTCACGTTTCTCCGCGATTGCAACCCGGATTTTATCGGAAGTTATACACAAAGAAGCACCAGGAAAAGCGGAAAGCGTCGAAAGCTAAAGAAACACGTGAATAATCTCTAGGAAATCAGGCTTTTACCACAGCAAGGTCGTGGCACGTTGCGTCCTTGACATGTCTGCGTCGAGTTCAGTCGGGTACGGGTCCGGCGTATGCCACAGCCCGGGACATTTTGTGACGCACGACGCCCTTGTTTCATAATGCGTCGATTCGGTTTCGAATTGCAGATCTCGATGCATGACCCCGGCCTGTTACACAGGACAGTGAATGCGATATTAATGATGGCTAATGATGCAGTTCTGGAGGTTCTGGAAAATCCGGGGGATTTTCCCGAGTTGGTGCCCCTTGCAACGAACAGTCCTTTCAGTGCACCGCAACCACATGTTCTATCTGAAAATGCCTCGCACAAGGAATCCCCAAGACCATAGCTGCGTATCTCTGAAAAAATAATGAACCTGCGAGAAACCATGAATCGGGCTGCAGCAGTTGCATAAGCACGCGGATGCGAATTTCATTCATTTGCAAGCATTAGAATTTGCTGTTATTTTTCATTTGCTTTCATGTATTTCTGAGGATTTCTTTTTATTTTACTGATTTAGTGCACAGACTTGTATATTCTGGTTGATCTGATTAATACTCTGACTTGTGAGAAAGTTTTCAAGGTTGTGTTTGAAATACGGTGGAATCGCGTTAAAACGAAATACAGTTTGTGGCACTGGTGGAAACTTCAGAAATAGCTTCGTTTAAAAAAAACTGTGAAGTCGGAATTGAAATAATTTTGTGGCTATCTGGCTGGGACAAAAAACCTTTGTAAGTAATAATTCGCAATAATGAGGTTCATTGTAATGAGATTCTACTGTGACGTCTAACCCAGTAGCGCCTGTTCTCAATTTTTTGGAATGCACTACTTCCATTTTTGGCTTGTAGATTTTTTGATTAACCATAATTCACTACTAAAATTCTACGTTTTTTCTTTGCGAGGAAAGAAGATAAACAATTATATAATACCGCAGTTTGTTTGCGCTTAGAAATTCGTATCCTTCGCGAACAGTGTTGCGTTTTCAGTAAAATTAGTACCCTTTCGAATCGTTGTCGCAGGTTTTAAATTCAAATTGTAATTTTAATCGGAAGAAAACACCATATTTATCGGGAACGCTCAAATGTCCCCGAAAATTAGAAGACTCAAAAGCACTGTGTACATACTATACAATGCTTCCCAATCATTTGTTAATTCCGATTCATTTGTTTTTTGCGCCATGACGGTATAAAAAGAAAAGAGAAATTATTCATGAGCCGTCACCAGGTGTACAATTTCTAAAATTATCCCTCTTGGTGCACATGATATATTTCTAGTTTGTGAAGTTATTCGCTTTTGGGTCAAGATCTGAAAAAACAACCCGAGGCGAGCAGACGTCCATGTAATTATCCGAATGACCGAAGAACTTTTTCATTGCATTTCATAGTTTCTTCTGACGAGTGTTATGACGTTTCGAGGCCCATAATTGCTTTGGCTGGCTGGTATTGAGAGTACCGGTCAAATTGATAAAAAAATTATGCTTTTTTTTTCTTTTTGTCCGGTTCAAGCGAATACTTCTCCGGGATGACATCCGTAAATTAAACAGCGGGACTGGGTCTTTGCTTGCGATGGCTTAACGCTTTAAACCGTTTTTCCCATCGCGTCATGCACGAAAGGGCAAAGTACGAAGTTGCACTTCGTGCTAACATCTTTTGCGTGTAGCCTGTGAAGGCGAGAAGAAAATGCGTGCGGTGAATAATGCAGGAGAACACGAGAGAGAATATGGGGATAGAAGGGGGGAAAAAAAGGGGCACGAGAATAGGAGTCAGGCCGGAGATGGGAACTTCGTGATCTTGTCGCGAGTTCGTCGAAGTCATGAAAGTCGGATATGAAGCCCTGACTTTTTTTCTTCTTTTTCTTCTTCTTGCGTGAGGATCCTTGGTAATGAGAACTGCATCAATGTCGAAATGCTCTGACGCTATTCTGAGACGTAGCATGGACGTTAGTTCGTTCGTGGTGTCGCCGGCGAAAATTTCGAGACATGATTAATGTCGCCTTCAGATTCTGTCCGATCGCAAGAATATATTCGAAGCACGAACATCGATATTGATCAAATAATGACGGGAGTAAATGGTCGGGAATTTCTGGCGATGGTCCACTTTTTTGCCATTTTTCTTGTTTTTGATTCGATTCATGTTTAGACCAAATTTTTCTTTGGGAAACGTTAGTGAATGATTAAAATCGGTTAGAATTTTCAAGTATCCTTGTTTTGCTCTGGGTTTCAGGCTGATGTTGAGCTTGCAAATTTGAATATAAAAAAAGCTTTTACGATGTTTTTTGCGAAGCCGGTATAACAGCTACTTCTCTACTTATTAGAAGAATATTTTGCCTTGTATTACAGTATTTGTTTTCATTTAAGAATTCCTTGATGAATACAATACCTCTGCAATCACTGCCTCTGTACAGAACAGTAGCGAGGACTGTTTATTTTCTACGAGAAGTGCAACATTATTTTGGAAACCGAGAGATTCGCAATTTGTCAGATTTACATGTGGGAAGAATAGTAAAATTGTCTGTTCATCTTCCGAAGAAATATTCAGAAATTTTCATTCGAGTTTGCCTGCGAAAAAATTACCCGGAAAATATTTTGGTCACTCTCGAGCTTGAGAGATTTTTTATTCGTGCTGTATCCGTATTTTTAAACATGCAAGGTGATGATTTCTCAAGATTTCTATTGAAGTTCTTGGTTCCATTGATTGTCTAGATAGATTAGTCTAGATACACTCCTGGATAACCGAGAAAATAATCCTCGACTTCTGGAGTGATTCCCACATTAGAAGGGCAATACCAAAGTTTTTTCGGTTGGAATTCCCCTTTCGAAAGAGTCAATTGCAGGAAGAATGGTTCTAGTTATATCCTGATTTTTAGGATAATTTTGGTTTGATAAATTTCGAGATTGTAGAAGTGTTTAAACGAAAATATGCTAGGCGTCGTATGCATCATAATTCTCGAAAAGAAAAAAAAATCCCGAAATCGATCGGTTTTACTGAAGCTTCCGGATTTAAATAAACTGTTGGGGTAAAGAGCTTAAAACAATATCCGAAATATATTTCTTCTTTTCAATTGCAACATTTACACTGAAATGTTGAAGTACAGTGTTAGAGTAATATCGATTGTTTACGAAGGTAAACATGCAATTATAACATCTTTTTCTCCTACGATGGCCGGTCGACCGTGGAAAAATTCTGAGGTACCCTTCATATGCCGAGACAATTTTAGAAAAAATTAACAACTTATGGGAAACGCTTATTAAACTAATTGGCGGACGTTCGTTTTTCCCGAATCCGCGCGGAAACCGGACATCCCACATATTCATCACTTTTCCATGTGCACAATTTCCTTGTGTGTCCAGGGTCCGGCTTTTGCGTGTCCGGTGTCCATGACGTTCAAGCCCGTCGGGTTCAAGCAATATGACCGAGGCTATATTCTCCTTTTCTTCTTCCTCATTTTTCTCTTCCCCCACACACGTCACACCCTGCTCATCTTTTCGCTTTCATTTCTCCTTTCCGAAAGTTGCGACTCTCTTGTCACCGATTTCCTCGTTCGACGCGGGTTTCGTTCCGGGGAGTTGAAACCCGCACGACGCGGAAGAATGGCGAAGCGTCGAGAAATCGATAGATGGCATGAGGAATGAGCAACTGCGACCATGGACAGGGATTCCGCGTAAATTCGTGGCTTACGATTGAGTCGCGAAAGGAAACGAATGGAAATTGGGAGTGATGTGGAAATGGAATTATT